TCCAACAGTACAGCTGCTGCTGGTATAACAATAGAAGACTTGAACGATGTAAGGATGAGGCTTCATGACATGGAAAATGACTATGGTCGAAGGCTGCAAACGATGGAAAATAATATGAAAAAGATGGTGTACTTCAGTGTAAACTCCACGCTCCAGCCTCTACGCTTCGTGAACTCACCATCGGTTGAGCAAAGATCTCTTCTTCACGAACCAGGTTGGTCTTCGAACAAAGATCTTTTGTCTTCCGACATCTGAGATTGAGATTGAGATTTGGGTTTGGAATTGATATGGACAAGTTAGAGTGAAAGGGAATCCCTCATCTGCTCGTTCCATATTTTCAGAATTAGGGATTTTATAATTTCAAAATTAGGGCTTTTTAAAAAAATTAGGGATTTGGGTTTTGAAAAATTAGGAATTTTGGTTTTTGAAAAATTAGGGATTAGGGCTTTTAGAAAAATTAGGAATTTCAGAAGTAGGGATTTCAGAATTAGGAATTAGGGATTCAAATTTCTATTTGAACGGCTAAACATTTAGGGCTTTTAACGTCTGAATTTTTTTTCAATTTGAGGATGATTTGGTAATATTTTTTGGAGATGATGAGGGTAAAGATGAACCCACAGTTCTGATGTTATGTAATATGAATGTAACCAACACACAGTTCTGAAATATGAATCTGATTCTTTGTTGTTGTTGAAAATTTAGTTGTTCTGAGTTTGAATTTAAAGGTCTTTCCTTGCAATTACTGTGTAGGACTAATGCGATTTGATGTTTCTTTTGTGATCTAGAGAATTTTCTGACCCATACATTTTTACAAATGCATACCTACAAAGTAGGCAGGAAGCAGGGGAAAAAAAAAAAAAAAGGGAAAATTGTAAGAAACTAGTAGAAGACAACTTTATATAAAAAATCAGCTCAAAATCTGATGGAGTATACTATATTTGAAAATAATGTATCATCCAACTAGTACTGATAAAACAAGAACATTTTATCTGTGTTACATAGGCTCATTTGTGTATCAAAGTCTCAAATTTCATCTAATTCTCATGTCCAAGATAACACAGCTGGAGTTCACATTTCTTAAATACTTCTTTTACTTTCTCAATGGTAAATTCACATTTACAAACTAAAATTAAGCATTTTATGTATTAAATGCATGGTTATATAGTAATCAAGAGTACTGGTACATACTTGTTGAGTGCTTGTTCAACTAGGCATAACTCATATCTCACACTTAAAAGTTGAGTATCCAACATGTTCACAAATTTTGAAGTCCATCTTACCAAGATTGTAATGTACTGGAACAATGGGATTGGACAAATATTAGTAATAGTAGGTACATGAGTCTAGCCCCTCCATTACTGGGATAGGAGAATTTCCTACAAAATAGTTGGAATTAACTAGATACCTGTGGTATATGTGGTATACAAAGTGTAAAACTCTGTTGAAACTCACTGTTGGTGGCATTTATTTAGGACCTCTTTTACTTCCCTCACTGTAGCTATGCTTATTGGAGATGATTAGGGTAAAGATGTGAGATATATGTTAGACAATTGCATCTGTTAATAACCATGTTTGCATCTGTTAACATCAAAACCAGTTTGCATCTGTAACAATGTCTTCAAGTTATTTCTATGGGACATATTATTAGAACCAACTTCCATTAGCACCAACTCCCATTAGCCTTCTCCTCATGTATGCAGATTTAAAAAATGGCTTCTTCTTCTAACATTAGCGACATGAGATTGGTACCGAGGCTGTGCAATTGTGGAAGAACAGCTGCTATACATATTGTAAGAACCAACGAGAACGGAAATGAAGGGCGTTTGTACTTTGTTTGCCCATCGAAATATGTAAGTTGGTAATTCTAGCTATTTTCTTCCTTTATTAGACACATTAATATTTGTCTTATTGAACTAATGTATTCGCATGCATTGCAGAGTAACCCTCCCACTCATCATTGCAATTACTTCAAGTTCGTGTCTGAAGATGATGAAGACGTTACGTCCAGAATCCGTTCCAACAGTACAGCTGCTGCTGGTATAACAATAAAAGACTTGAACGATGTAAGGATGAGGCTTCATGACATGGAAAATGACTATGGTCGAAGGCTGCAAATGATGGAAAATAATATGAAAAAGATGGTGTACTTCATTGTATTTTGTATCATTTTGTACTTTATGATGTAACTTTTCGACTTTATTGTATTTTTGGGGAACTTAATGGAAGTTTGTATCCTTTTGGATTTTATGTACTCCGACTTGTTATCTATTATCTGTTATGGAATGAATTTTGGGGAACATTAAACTTCTTATTTGTTATGGAATGAATGATGGAATTTTGGAATGTTGGAATGAATGATGAAATGTTATGTTATGTAACTATAATACATGATAACCAGCAGATTCTATGATGATGAATGATGAAATGTTATGGAATGTTATGTTGCACAGGCAGATTCTGATGGAATTTTGGAATGAATGATAGAATGTTATGTTATATAACTATAATACATGATAACCAGCAGATTTTGTGATGATAAATGATGGAATGTTATGGAATATTATGTTGCACAGGCAGATTCTGTTCTTGTTACACAAGCAGATTATGATTTATGTGGACAGATCAGGATACCCTTCTCCTCCTTGAAGCATTGGACTGTCATGTTGCTGAGCATGTTGCTACAAAAACCAAAGCTCAATCTAAAGGATGCTTTTATGGACTGTGATCATGAAAAGGATGCTACTGTCAAATAAAATGCAGATCTGAAGCATACCAGTTTCAGAACATCAGAACCAATTTCAGAACATGCATATCCATTTCAGAACATCACAATTTCAGATCCATTACAGATCCAGTTTCAACATCAGATCAATTTCAGAACCAGTTTCAGAAGCAGTGTTCAACACAACATGACTTATCAATAACATGAACCAGTTTTAAATGAACATGTTCAATGACATGTTCAACACAGAAACAGTTTTAAATGATCATGAACATAGAACCAGTTCAATAACATGTTCAACACAGAACATGAACACAGAACCAGTTCAATAACATGTTCAATATGAACATGAACATGAACATCAACCAACCAACACATAAATTAAAAAAGGATATTAACAATAACAGAATCAGTTCACTTGGGTTTAACATATAAATTAAAATCAACTGTAACTGAACATCAACCAGTACAACTTTAACATCTAAATTAATACATTGGTCCTTAAAAATTGACACATTGGTACTTTAACATCACTTTGTAGCAACAGTTTGCTTCACAATTTCAGAGGCCATGTCTTCACGTTGTAGCCCAATTTCAGCATCAGTTTGGTTCTGTTGATGGTTGTCCATAGCCTAAAAAAAAAAGATAATTTTTAAGCAACTATAAATACATGATATCACAGAATTTTCAGCCACTATAAGCTAAAAATACATCAAGGACGAACCTCACTACACATTGAAGTAGTTGATTCTTGAGAATATCGAAACCCAATGTCACATCCACATGAACCTTGTAGTAGTGACTGGAATGTTGGTTGAGTTGGCAAATAATTTGGCACCACATACATCTCCCGCAAATTGTTCGCCTACAAGAATGTCATATATGCTTTCAGTTATGGTTTTAGTCACATATTATATCCACACAAAAAATACAATGTTAAAGTAAGACTTACATGATATGTGGGATACATCAATGGCGGAGGAATGTAATTACCACCCATGGGCAAAGATCGAGGAAGAGGATGAAGCGGAGGAAGAGGTTGAAGCGGAGGAACATGTTCACGAACATATATATCTCCTCCAACAGATAATGGAGAAGGTGCAACCGTTGAACTTGCAATAGATTGTGACGAAGCCAAGCTATTAGCACGGGCTTTTTTTTTGGAGTTCGCTACCAATGCCGCTTCGAATCCACCTTTGACCCTCCTTTTGCCCTTACTAGTTGCCACCTTTTTCTTCAATCCTTTTGGTTGCAGAACATGATTCACATCTTCGCATTCCACTTCAAAGCTTTGGGTATCATCATCATTACGTACTTCATTTCCAACGCCAAAATGAGCACTTAACTTGCCTTCAACATCTGCACCTAATGTAGCAAGGTGTGCAATACAAAAATCATATGTTTCTTCAGTTTCAGCAGCTCTACTTGCTACTGCTCTAAATGCAGTCATCAATGTCTTATACCGCGAAGCTTGTTGGAATTTCACATCTACTTCAATGTCATTTTCCTTAATGTGCTGCACAGTTTCGGCTCTTGCTTGTTTGGTCCACCTCTTCAGAATGTATTGTGGAGGAACCTCTTTCATCTTCAATATGCCTCTAATGACCTCCAACGAGTGAGAACACAAGATTCCTTCCCTTTCAAACTTTGTACAATTACAACCCAAAGAGCCATCCCTCTCCAACTTCATTTTCCTTGCATGTTTGTTACCAACATCAGCAACTGTGTAAATGGTACTAGCCTCGCCATATTCAATTGCTTCTATGTCCGATTCAATGGATTGAAAGTACTCATTTTGAAATTCCTCAAAGATCTTTTTTGTGTAGACGTTACCCATTTGAATTAACATTCTTATTGTTGCTTTCACCTTTGGCAACCTTTGGCATAAAGCATAGCCCGCTTCTAACTCCTTGTATCGTTTCTCGTAAAGTACCCTTTCGAAATGCATGAAGAATTCATTTAAGTTGAAATCAGAACGAATGTAATCCTTCAAAAAAGCATTAAAAGATTCACTAAGTTGTGTGGTACTCATTCCCGCAGCCCATGTTGATCTAACATAAGGCCATCCCCATTTTTCTTTCACCGCAAAAGTCAATTTCAACCAATGGTTTTCATGCGCATCATATTTATCAAGCATTTCCGCCCACTCTAATTTCCATTGATTTGTATCTTCAATGTGAAAGAAAAATTTATTTAGTACACCCTTCACCCGCTTATCTTGGAACAAATAGTTAACATGTTTTAATGCATTTTGCATCAAATGCCAAGTATACAATCGGTGACTTGTGTCAGGCATAACGATGGGTATGGCTTTAGCCATTACAGCATCTTGATCGATGAACAAAGTTTTCGGTGCCTTCCTTGACATAGTCTCTAGAAAGTTTTCAAACAACCATACAAACGATTCGGCGGTCTCATCATACAACAATACTGCACCAAATATAACTGTTTCCCTGTGATGGTTGAATCCCACAAAAGATGCGAACGGTCTATGTTCTTTGTTTAACTTGTAAGTCGTATCAAATGTGACAACATCACCAAATTGGGCATAATCCATGATCATTTGTGCATCGGCCCAAAATATATTGGTTATTTGCTCCTCATTATCTAATTGAACAGCATAGAAGAATGAAGGATTCTGCAAAGATTTTTCTTTAAAGTATTGCAACACATTGCCTACTTCCCAATATGCTAAACTTTGTTGTCTTTTGGTTCTCAAATAATTTTTAGAATCTAATTTCGTAAAACCAAGACATTGCCTTCCACCAGCTTCCCTACCCATAAGTTCAAAAGACTGGCCCAAACGAAGACCAGATTGTGCCGCTAAATCTAACTGAATTGCTTGGGTAGCGGATATCTTTCTTTGTGACGGTAACATGTGGGCACACTCGGGTGATACAAGATCATGGTTGTGTTTTTCTTTGAAATCAGTCACAACATATTTTCCAGTACCCTCATGTAATTTAATATAAAGTCGAGCCTCACACCCAGTCCTAGTTTCAGCTCTAGAGTTTTTTGACAATGGGTCTTGCTTGTCAACCTTTCGAAAACCCTCCTTGTTGCAAACCAAAAGTCTATGAATAAGTTGATTAGTGAACCTGTCCTTCTTACAATAATCTCTTCTTATGCTAAACCCCATTCTTCCTCCATATGTATTATAAAATTCATACACAAATTGTTCAGAATCAAATATCATTCCCAATTTTGGCTTCCAATCACAGTCATTCTCAGGTTCCAAATCGATATCAAAATGCAACTAAAAACCCATATAAATAAAATCTTAAGTTAATGATAGTTGAGCTTCTTAATAAGATTGCAGGGTTGCTTAGGTTGTAATGCTATGAAAATGAATTGAAATTGGTTTATACATAAACTGGCCTATCAATTTTAAGGTTCATGTTCTGAAATTGATAGACCAGTCTATCAATTTTAAGGTTCATGGTCTATCAATACGAGTTTATGTAAGGTTCCAGTAATTTTCATAAACTGGCCTATCAATTTTAAGGTTCATGTTCTGAAATTGATAGACCAGTCTATCAATTTTAAGGTTCATGGTCTATCAATACGAGTTTATGTAAGGTTCCAGTAATTTTCATAAACTGGCCTATCAATTTTAAGGTTCATGTTCTGAAATTGATAGACCAGTCTATCAATTTTAAGGTTCATGGTCTATCAATACGAGTTTATGTAAGGTTCCAGTAATTTTCATAAACTGGCCTATCAATTTTAAGGTTCATGTTCTGAAATTGATAGACCAGTCTATCAATTTTAAGGTTCATGGTCTATCAATACGAGTTTATGTAAGGTTCCAGTAATTTTCATAAACTGGCCTATCAATTTTAAGGTTCATGTTCTGAAATTGATAGACCAGTCTATCAATTTTAAGGTTCATGGTCTATCAATACGAGTTTATGTAAGGTTCCAGTAATTTTCATAAACTGGTCTATCATAACCTTAGAAATAGCAGTTTACATAAACTGGTCTATCAATTTTAAGCTCTTTACAAATTACAGTGTGTTATATTAACTGGCAGTCTCATGAGCAACCAGTAATTTACAGTGTGTTAACCAAATAGCAGAACCTTAGAGAAAAGTTAAAGAAATCATAAAGAGGCAAAACACACCAATTAATGAAAACTCCATTCGATTTCTTACCTTACTGTCGACTGTAATTTGTAAAGAGCTTCAGTCGAAAGCTTTGGCGACAGAAGAGTACTCTGTAGAGGCTGGAGCGGTGGAGTTTGCCGTCGGTGAGGATGGAGTTCGCCGTCGGTGAGGATGGGTTCGCCAGTGAGGATGAGGATGGGTTCGACGGAGGCGAGTGCTGCGTGAGAGTGAGAGTGGTGTGTGAGAGTGAAAGTGAATCCCTCATCTGAGCTGTGTTGTTGTTTGTTTGGACGGGAAGTCGAAAACACACTGTAATTTGATATTTTTTTTTTTATAATATCAGCCGTTGGATGACCAACGGCTCATCTGAGCCGTTGCCCGCAGCAACT